TTTATTTTAGGTTACAGAATTCATGTACTCACAAACGATTCAAATTTGTTGACTGAATTAATGCGGGTTACATTGAAATAAATCTTGACAAATCTTTGTTTTTTCAAGAATTTGTAATATAATAATCCAATGACCCCAAAATCCCAATTTCATAATCTCAGATTGCAATTTCGATAATCTGTAATAAGCTTGATATTAATTTAAATATATATTAATCAGTGAATGATTTACAAGTTAATACGTGTTATAAAGCATCTTAATTGTTTTTAGTGTAGCTAATTGTAAAACAAACTTAATATTGATTTTATATTGTTCATCCACAGTAATTCTTAATACTAATTTTATATATATTTTATATACCTTGAGTTTAAAATCAACCTCAACAAAAGACGCATTGCAAGAGGATATGGACACAGCTGTAATTGTAATAGAATGTTTTCATGAGTATGAGTTATAATATGACAAATAACTAAAAAATAAATAGTTTTTTTAATTAAAATCTGAAAGAGTCAACAAGTCCATATATATACAGACAACATACATGTTGGCTTTTATTTGCCTTCAAGGGCACATAAGTTTTATTAAGTTACTTTTTTTTTATCTTGCACCCCATCACATCAATACGCCAGTGACACACTTTGTTCTTATAGACATGTACACCGATGTCTGTTTTCAATGACCACCTTAGAGAGTGAACAATGATTATGTAATAAGCGAGAGACATTGCTTGTAATATTTACTTGTGACAATACACATTAAATAAACTTGGATTTAAAGTTGTGTTGCATATTTCAGGATTTTGCTGACACTATTGTGAAGCACAGTTTTCGAAAGATATCAGAATCTAATAAATTAAATATCCAGCAATCAAGTGAGTTAATGTTAAGAATAAAATGGGTCTGCTATCTGTTGGCAGAGAGTATTGCTTTATATGTAGTTAATCGAATGAACGTCTTTTATCCCAGAGTGGGCAACAAGAACTTTCCGGAACATAATGTAATGATGTCAGATTATACACAAAGCACTGGAAGGGAATATCTATAAAGAAAGTAACAGAAGCAGAATTCGCTTCATCATTTATACACTATACCCTCAAGCTAAGTGTATGTCTGAACCCTAATTTATCTGACAAATCATAGCTGGAACAATTCAACACATTTACACCTAATATTATAAAACTTGACGTATTTCATATATATGTATTTAAATGGTGAGAAATAAACATACAATGTTCACTGGATGAATTCTAAACAGTTACTGAACTTTTATTTACAACGGCAACGAGACTACATAACGATTACGGAATATTGGAACGCGTATAGAACACAGAAAATTAAAATGCGCAATATTAGAATATACGCTTTTATAAGCGTCCCAATATTTTAGACACGAAAAAAAATACCGGAAACACCGAGCGAATTTCGAAAATGAATTGAAAAATATAAATTTCTGATTGAGAACTGAATTTCGTAATTGTAATATTTGTTTTTTCTCATTTCTGAGGCTCATCAGTCAAAGTCCTATCTTGTGTTCTCGTAACTGATCGGGTATCTCTTGGGTGAATTCTCAGTGGAATTACTTGAATTATCATCTATATCTTTGATGGTTGGGTCATCGTATGTCACCTCGAGTGGATAGAATTCAATAACTTGGCGATTTCAATTGTATGACCAATTTTAGTTTTGACACTGCCTGATCAAACCGATCTCTAATGTACAATTATGCACCGCTTATTGTCACTGTATTTAATTACTACATCATCTACTTAATTTTTTTTCTGTTTTGAAACTATGGTTTCACGAAGTGCAAGTAGAAGTGCAAGACCATCTGTGCAAGAAATGTTTATGTCGAGACATTTAACACGTTTATTAAGTGAAGTGGCATTGCTTATTGTGAAATTAAGATCTTCTAATTCAGTAGTATCAATAAAGTAGTACGGTAATGCATTACTAAAATGCCATGTGAGATATGTGATGGAGTTAATGAATCACCGTCATCAGTATATGTAAGTGGTCGTCCATTCAATATTCAATAAATTGCCATTTCTTTTAAGGTGATTCAAGAACGACCTAAGACATTTTAGATTAAAGTTCGTTTGGACCCTATTGTTTTTGACAAATTGTCTTTATTTTATTTTAATGTCGTTTCTTTGTGGCCCTAGAACTTGAATACTGTTGAAAAATTCTTAATTCTCAAACAGGGGGTCTAGGCATTCTGATTTTATTGGAGTAGCATTATTGTTACAATCGCTACTCATTTCACAAATAAAACTGTTGGTGGTCACATGACCTTTTCCGCCACGATTTCCCCAAAATTAGCATAAAACACTTACAAAATTGGCTTTTTCAAAACCAATAGCCATATTAATCTGAAATTTGCATAGCATCTACGTGTAATGCTCGTTCAAGTTTGCTAAACTCTTGATTGGACATATATGATTGGACATGTGTGATTAGACTCGTGTGATTGGACGCGGGGTTTGGCTGTAGTCTTTGATTTTTTTAAACAGAAATGTGTTTGCTACATTCATTCGATGTTATTGGAATTTTGCTGTGCTGCTTCTTTACATCAAAATCTTTTAGACAGTAATAATTTGGATCGATGACAACAATTAGAAGCATTTGTTTCTCATTAGTGTTTTAACCAGTCGACTTGAAATTTGTTAGAGATAAAGCTTCTTCTGACCGCCGTTATTTATTTCTGTCATATCCACAATTTTGGGCATTTGTTTCACATGATTGCTTTGACCGAGCAATTTACCATTTTGCATATATGGACAAAGCATCTTCTGAGAAAATAAGTACATGTTTAGCCGTCAATCTTGGAACCGAGAAAGCTGTTCTGTAGCTTTAATTTTAACGTGGTATTAATTAGTCCGATCAGTGTCTCCCAGAAGCACCAAACCATGGGCTCTTTTGTTGAATGAAAAGCCACTCAATATAATCTTTGACTTCTGTGTTGTATTCTCTTGTGAAGTAAAACGCTGGGAGAGGAGAAGCTTCCTGTACGCTTAGTGGAGACAGTGGTGGAGATAATGAAATCTTTTCTGATTACTTTCTACAGGCGACGCATTTTTGTGGAATTGGTTTGACAGTCTCTCATATTTGTGGTACGTATAATTGTAGACGGCATACCAGTGAAATACTTTGTCGTGAACATGTCCTATGAGCAATTGGAAAAAAACCTGTGTTTTTCCTTGTATCAGTGATTGGACTTTTGTCTCATATTCGATGTACTTTGGTGTGTTATTTAATCTCCCACCTAAGGAAAGCACACCATCGTCATCGACAAATAAGCGCATTCTTTCAATTGTTTCAAAGAAATGATACTATATGCACAAACATTGACATTGATCTTTGACAAAAATCGAAACACTGACATATATACTCTTTAATATATAACCTATAACAGCTCATAGCGATGATTTTCTGTGATTGTGAGATGAGTGGTTCTGATCAATATTGTGTTTATATATATATATATATATCTGTTTTGTTTTGAACTGTGTGACATGGAATGTAGTGTCATCTGATTTGTTGTCACCACCAACTTTGCTTACAAATTTTGCTGTACTTACTCGATAAAGATATTGTTGTATTTCAGTAGTTATTTGTGGTTTAATCACCTAACTCCAGATCATGTTCTAGCGTTGGTGATAGTAATTATCTGTGCATATTAATTACTTTATTTGCATAATAATTACAAAATTTTTGATTTTCGGCTTTTCCGCTGATATTCCAAGTACTAATCATTACATTTGAAACTTAGTATATTTAGTATAGTCTATAAAAGTACCTTGCAAGCAGGTCACATATGACAAAGAAGAGTGAAAGTTATGGTCACGAAAGTGATTAAATCAGTGCGGCAAGTACCGTATGTCAGAGTGCACTACAGATAACGATCAGGGGTAATGTCCGATTTAGGCTTAGAGGATAGGGTTGTGGGTTCTAAATATATATGTATAATCCATTTGCCAAGCTGCTTCTAAATTAGTTCAACATGTTAATCTTTATTTGGTCTAATACTGGATAAAAAATTTACATTTTCACTATAATTTAGGTGACTATGTATTGTACATTTCTCAAATGCATCTTGTTGTATGTATGAGAAAGAATATCATGTTTATTTCACAGAATTGTCTTGTTGCACATGGTTACGATGCAATTTATTTAAGTATCCAGTAAAGCTGAAGTAGATATGTCTAAAATGTATGTCATCTTCTTGTTTATTGTTGTTAGTGTAATCCAAAAAATTGGGTTGATAGACATTTTTTTGAAAAACAAAGTCGAAATTGTTATAAAAAAAACAATTTGCATTTTTGCACAGGTTTCTATAGTGAAATTGTTTCATTTTGTCTGGAACTTTTGCTTTGTTACATGATTCCTAATATAATTAAAACATTTCACAAAATCCGAGTGCGTTTCAGTATATACAGCAAGATGTACTCTTTCATAGAAGTCCTCTTTTAAATATGTGCTTGTGATTCATGTCCGACTGCATATCATTAGGTCCTTTTTTTAATTGAAGAACAAATACTTTGAATGGGAATTATTCTGATGTACAGTCATGTACACTGTATACAATGACCACCTTAAACAAGAGATAATTCGATTATAATTACTTGTGACTTACAATACACATTGAATAAACACATTTAATTTTAATTTGTCGAATATTTCCTAAGATTTGTTTCTCCCCAAATATATATGAAGCAGTGTTCAATAGTAGCAGAATCGAAATAACATTTAACAATGAAGGGGCTCTCCTTAAGTATTTTTAAAAACATTTAGGAATTTCAAACAAATTTAATATTTGGGAAAACTTTGATGTTAAATATTTTACATTTGTAATAATTCCCAAAACATTTACAGATTATGATATTGGAGGCATAAAAATATATATAATTCAGCCTCCATATTGGTATCCTTTTTATTTTTGATCCACTATATGTCCAAACTATTCTTGTCCAGTTTTGTAAAAAATCCATAGTAACATATAAATTTGGTTCAACAGTAATAGTTTAATTTACTTGAATAAAATCCAATAATATGAAGAAGGTATATACTATATAAATTGTACAGTGGCTGTTGCTGATTAATTTGCTTTCAGTACGACTGCAATGATACGATACGTTTTGTCAATGTGAAAGCATGGTTTTGAAAGCAAATCGTCAGCAATGACTGCGACATGATAACGATGTTGACTTCATGGTCACAATTATCTTTAAGAACAAAATATAGTGTCACTATATAATGGCAAAACAAGTGCATTTAGAAAGAATATTAGCATAGAGGATCACTCGATAACATATGTAGCACTATATCAAACACTCAACCCAGAGGTGACATTGCTACAGGGAGGAATGAACAGCGATCTCAATTAATGTATTTTTCATCATTCTCTTCTATTGTTAATTTCATGTAGCGGATTGAATGAATAGCTTAAAGGAATGGATGTAGATCAATTTCAAATGTCGAACACGGAAGAGAAAGTTCAAACTTTGTGATGACATCTGGGTGCAGTACGCCCAATTTGCCAATCACGTTTCCATAGACAACAATCTCAGCACAACGCCCGGGAAAGTAAGTAGCATCTGTAAGGAAAGTAACAATAAACAGGTTACCATGGCATCGATGAACGGATTCTACTTCCACATAAATGCAATACATATATCCCTCAAGTTAAGTGCACGTCGGGTTACTATTTTATCTGACAAATTATTGCTGTCATAATTTACCCATATCTTGTATAAATTTGGTAAACTGCGTCACAACTTATGGAGTGATATTTTTTTATAATGAATGTTAGTTTACCAAAGACTACCGTTTTTCTCAAAAATCATTCTTGTTTATAAATATTGAACAAGGTTTTCTTTTGAAGAGTAGAATCTATTTCATATTTATTTACTCAGATTTGAAATGGCTTGGGCAAAACTCAAGTACATGTACATCTTTGTTTACATCCAAAATACTTCAGTATTGATGGTACATACTATTTTGTAAACGTGCGTTTTTCATTGTGTATAAAATGTGTGGAAATACTCATCCAATTTAGGTTTTTTGTATTAACTGACACCATTCTAGTGTACATTGTTTATTGTAACTAGTATAAATAGTAAACTCTGTTTCGACAATGAACTGTTATCGTCATAAAAGTGTTAAATCTTCTTCAATGCTGAGATTATCTTTCCAAAATAGCTAATTTCCTGATTGTAAATCAAATTCTTGCCATAAGTTTGTAATACAACAGTGGTAAATCTTTCCCATGTTGCGTTCACCATTCAGTGAGTTTGTTAAGTCCTCATTTCAAATTTTGAGTCAATATTATTATCACCACTGAATAATCAATCAAATAATCAATCAACATTTGCAACACCTTGTGAAGCACAGTATGACCAGATCACACTACCATTATCATTGGCTATTAAGCAATGCATTTGAGTTTGTCTTTATTTAAAACTGTGTTTTTCTTCACCAACAAAATTAAAACATATGTATATTACAATAAAATGAGTATTTTTTGTTATGTGGAAATACCAACTTTTTTTTTGTTTGACTATAATTTTCAACAGTTTACGATGCCTTTTTATATCCAAATTAAGGCCTTGCACTCTTCCTTGATGCCTAACCTTGAGTGATGCCTGAAATGTAGTGACTGTAAAACGGTTTTATTTTCATCCTGCCAAACATGTCACATTGTTAGTAAAAAAAAATAACATGGCACCAATTTTCTGAGTTCAGGTCACTTGGCGCTAGGTCAAGTTTGAAAATATGGTAAAGAAAACTTTACATTATGTGATTTTGATAATAATACAGATAAGGAAAACAAATATCTTACCATCAGCACTGCGTATGTAGTAACCTGTATTGTCTTTTTTTAGAGGAACTTCTAATATTTTCATTGTTCTATCTAGAAGACCATGTATCACCTGTCAAAGTATGTTATTTTTATCAGTGACCAAAAACAACACAATTGAGCATTTAAAATTTAAGGCAAACCACATCAACATTGAACATGTACCAGACATATTTCCATGACAGAAGGGGTGCAAGGGAGGATAGCTGGTACAGGTTAATGCATTTTAGGTATTTTAAGGAAATAAAATGGAAAATTCCATTTACAGTAAAAAATAGGTTTTTACGCTTTATTCCTAATAAAGTTTATTAAAGAATAAAGTTTATTCCTAATTACATTTTTATAATATACTTGATAATTTGTGACACTTGAAAGATTTAGAGTATCAGCATAGTGTGTGACATATATAGAATCAATCACTGAACACAAGTGGATAAACTGGCACGAATATCATAAAATGTTTTCACTGGAAGCTTTAGTAGTTATCTCTTATCGGATTAGGACTAACTATAAAGAAAATATATTATAGAAGCCTAATCCCTAATAGAAGCTTGACCCATTCTTTTCGATTGAGAACTGACTTAATATGTGAAGGTACTACATATGAAGCCGTATCTCAGCTGTTACATTGTAACATTTTAATAGAAGCC